AGTGATGTTTTGCTCTCACATGGACGTTTCTCACTTCCTCTCTCTCTAAAATTCAATTGGGAAAAAAAAACTTTAAAAAAAATGTGACATGAGCACACACAGTGTAGGCTGTGATTGCCACAATGTTTATGTCAATGTTAAGTGGAGGGGTCCTAAGTCCAGCCATTGGAATGAATATGTAAATATTACCTCTCAGATTAGATATAAGGAACAACGGAGGCTATAAAAGCCAAGCAAACATCCTCATAATAGCCCCTCATGAAAAGAAAGTTTGAAATTGTATACAATATAGTTTATGTGAGCCACTTAATATACTAATATATTTAATATGTTGGTCAGTAACTATAAAATGCCATCAGGTCCACTGAACAGCTAAAACACTGTGAGAATCGGCCATGTAATTAGCCCGCTTGCCCTTCTTCCCTCCCTCCTTTTCTCTATTAACAAGATGGAGCATTTTGAATCGAATACCATAAACTTCTTTGTAACAAAACTGTCTCCTGTGTGAAGTAGAAAAACAGGCAGTCTCCAACTTATGAAAGTGCTATTTATTCCAAAAGCTCTTTGAATTCATAATTTGAAATCCTTATTATAGTTTCCCATGAAACAACACTGTGAGGCAAGGTAAACTTTTTAAACCACTTCACAAAGGACTCATCTATAATAATAAAAGCATATTATGCTAATTAGACCAGAGGTCCTTCAAGACGACCTTCCAGACGAAGCTGGAGGGAAGCCCAGGTCCCGGGTGCCAGAGGGAAGCCAGTGCCGGCAGCCGGGGGAAGGAAGGCCGCCTCTTGCACGATCTTCGTGCATCTGGCCTCTAGTTAATTCTATAATATACTTGCTTCACAGTATTGTACCAAAAGTATAGTCAGGCATTGCCCCTGATGTACCTAGGGAAGCGTTTTTTAGTTCCCACTGTGGTGTCAGGAATATCTCTTCTGCCGCAAGCTGATTTAGAGATACCACTCCTTTCACTCCTGAGCAGTAAAGAGAGAGGACAAAAGTAGCTCCTTCTTTCCTGAGGTCTCTGTGATGGACCTTTATGCTTCTTTTTCTGTTGAAACTTCTCCTGGTTCTGGCCAGCAGTTCTCTTCCTCCCCCTGACTGCTGTACAAATCCACAGCCTCAATGATTCCTCCACATCCCCGTCCTCGAAGCCTTCCTAGACCATTGAGGTTTTCTAAAGGCTTTCACTGCTAACACCAAAAGAAAAAGATAAAACAAAGAAAAAGAAAATAAAACAAAGCTCCATCCTGTGCTACCATGGGAACCAGACTCTGCCACACTGGCATTTAATCTCCAAAATAAAGGCTGGCTAATGTCTTAAAACCTAATGTGAGGGGCTAGAAAGGCAAAGATAGAAGCTGGCCAGCCCAATGCATGGAAGAAGGAAATGGAATCTTATTCTGCATCCCTTCTCCTGCTGGCTAGTGCCTCCATCAGTTTTGCTATATGTCCTCTACCGTGGATGGCATGGATCGGGGAGGGAAGCCACCTGCTGTTGTGGCATTTTTTGTTGGAGGAAAAGGAGAGCCAAAGCAAATGAAGGCAACTAGCTGAGAAGGAAGGAAACCAAAGAAGAGAAGGAAAGCCCAAGAGGGGCCAAACTTCTTTTGGCCATTTTTAAAATGTAAAATATAGCACATAAGTTGACTACTGCTTGTACATTTAGATGAGCTTCTTTATATAGCTAAACCTAAACACTGATTATACAAAAAAAAAGAGTGATGTGGGATATTGTACTCAAATTTTTAATTTACCCACTGTTCATGATTGCGTTTTTACTTTCTTTGTATTGAAACAAGCACATTTGTTTTCCTATTCATTTCTCTTTTCTATATATGTAATTAAGATTATGTCCAAAGAACGCTGACATGATAAATTAAAGAACTGCCCTTGCATTCTTATAGGCTGGGGGCGAAAGGAAACATTTTTATGGAGATGCTCTTTTGAAGTAATTTAAAAGCATACAATTTAACAGTCTGCAGTTTCCCCCCATGTCAGCACACCACCATCATTCATCACATGATTGATGTGCCTAATTCCCATTTGTGAAGGAAGAATGTCTTATCTGAAAGAAAAATAAAACTTAAGGTATCTTTTTCCTGGTTTTGTATTCTTTTTTTCCACAATCAAAAGAAAGAAAAGAGTGTGATCTTTTTAGTAACGTTGATTATTAAGAGACTCACTTCTTGCACACAGCAGCATTAGGTGAGCAGAATTAAGAAGCCAGGGTTTTCTGCAAACCTGAGCTTTTCCCTACAGGTAAGGCCGGATGGACTGCTTTCTATGTTACCCTAAATTATCTTTACATCGTGGCATGCCAATTTCATCACCTCTGTGTTGCTGCAAAAAAAAAAAATAGTATTTGATTGCATAAGGATACACAGAGAAAGCAAAAGTTGAAGTGATAAGAAAAATGATTCTTTTAAAATAGATATTCTTCGTTTAGTCCAAAAGCCAAATAGGAAAAAGGAAAGGGAAAAATACCTGGAGAATGATTATAAACACCAAGCGCTATCACCATTTATCACTACTTCCAAATTCTGAAATAATATGGGGTCATCTTTAGCTTAACAGACAAATGAACTACTAGTAAAACCAACAAATGGATACTAAAGGCATAAAATAGAATGAACCAGGTAAAGATAAGGTGTTTTTTGTTTGTTTGTTTTGTTTTTATCCTATGACTGAATCTGGGAATATATGGAGACTCAGGGCAAGCCTGCCCCAAGCCAGTTTTACTTTTTTTTTTTTTTGGAAGTTAACATTTCACCCTTCCTTTTACTCTAGTACTTTGATTTTTTTTTTTTAATTCAAGTCTTCTGACATAGAACATTGTTCTGAACTTGGTCAGGTCAGGATTTGTTTACACATTGGGCATGACTTGGATTTGCATAGGAAGAGTCCCATTGGTCAGCCTTGTTTTCCTTATTAATAAGATCTCAGAAAAATGCTTGAAGGTGGGGTGGGTTTAGTGGCACCAGCTGTGGTCCTGGGCCTTCGTTAACAGTGAAATGATTTTACTTTCTGGGAGCAAATCTGTGACCTTTATTTTGTTAGCAGAACTTCTTTCCCTGGTATCCTATTTAGCACATTTTACAAATTGGTGTCAAGCCTGGGCCTGTTTTATTTATTTATTTTATTTTCCTATTAGATTTTCATGCAGCACTTAACCAAAATCTCTTTCTGGGATTGTATTGCTCACAACCATATTTGCCAACTTTTTGTTTACAGAAATTATAAATAGTGCTGTAGTAATTGATAGACCTTCCCAGCACTTGACTCTTTTAAGCTCCCTGATTTTGTTATTACTCTACATATTAAATAGTCTTATTAAAATAATCACCTTAAATGTGGAATAGAATTTCAAGGGCAGTTAGTATAAAATCAAAGTGTGTCTTAAATATTGAAAGAATCTACATCTTTGTATGATTTCACATTGAAATCAATAAAATAAAACTTTAATATTTGTGTTCATGTCATGTCTGAGTTGCCATTGAAAAGTAGCAAACTCAGTCTCATTTCTTATTTGGTAGATTGGAAACCAAACCCACCCAGTAAATGACTATCACATATACAATATTGCTTTCATTTTTAAAATGTCTTTCAAAAATCAACTATGGCAAAACACATATTTTGTATAGATGTTATTGTCCACATTTCTCCACTAGCTATTTCTACTATATATTAAGATCATATGAGTAAATGTGCCTCTGTTGACATTTCAGTTTCCAGCTAATAAATTTAAACAAAATTGATGATTTTTAAATCATTAATAACTTTAACCATTAAAATGTTATTTGTTGAAACTTAAGAAATGATTCATTTTTAGTTGTATTCTCTCATTTTTACACTTGCTATTGTTTTGTTTATCAAAACACTTTTGATCAAATGAGCACTTTAAAGAAAGTATAGCTAATTAAATGAAAATTAAGAATGAGACTAGGAATTTCAACATGGATATACTTTATTATTGGAGAAATTTTGATTGCTATTGAAACCTTTTTCTCTCCCTAGTCCCATAAAACAGTTTTCCCTTACATTCCTCCCTGGATGCCAAGGCCTGTGTCTCAAATAGTTGGTAAATTCTCTAGTGCATACTAATAATAGTGTAAATCCTATTCACTTGTATTGATTAATTGTAGAAATACATATACAAATTTGATTATCCATATGTGGAAATTTATTTAAGTAAATATATAAAATATGTAAATATTATATAGATGTATGGAAACATAAGGAAAAGTTTATCAAATATCTTTATCTTAACTCTGTTCACATTCACACCCTAAACAGAAATACAAAGTAAATAAATCTTGATAAACTTTGCCTAATGGACATTGACAAATGGACTTCTCTTGCAATGGTTACTTTTTCCACTTAACATTTAAAAGTTAGAATTTTCATAATTACAATAAACTATCATTTGCAATAAAATATGAGCACGAAAAATAAGTCAAATAAATTGTAGTCTTTAGTTGCGTATTTATGTTGTGTTTCTTTAAGGAAAAAAAGTGAAGTATTAGAAATACTTAAAGGCCATGATAGAAAGTTGATTACATATTTAGTAGAACTGGAATATCTTTAAATGAGACTTCATGTTTATTTTTCTTTCATCGAAGTCTAAATCAGAATTTAGAAATAGAATCTTTAAGAATGGTATAAAAAAAGCTTTAGAAGTTATTGCCTAGAAAAACCATGCCAGCAACATGTAAGAATGTTTGCTTTACACAAGGCAGTGAAAGACTTTAAAACTCCTTGTTCAGGAAATACCAGTATTACTGAAATTTGGTCATATTTTTTAAATGCTGCCAGTGGGAGAGAACCTGCTCCCATGGTTTTGTTTTCCCCTTCGGACGGTAGCCATGGAGCACTGCATGTTGTGTTGGTGCCTTGCATGAGGAAGACATGCAAAGGCAAGGTCCAGTCTGCATGCTGCTTAATGAATGTTTTTCCTTTTTTTCTCCCTCCTTGTCATGTGCTTTCAGAAGACAACAATGTGGAAGGTGGGTGCTTTTTACTCTTTTTTCAACTCTCATTTGCCTTTTATTTCTTAGCATTAACAGAGTACATCTCAAATTTAGACGGTAAGTTGAACACCTTTTTGAGCATTTGTTGATTTGTGGATTGTCCATCACTTTTCATATAGAACACTCATACTCTGTACCCCAGGCACCCTGCATATATGAAACGCCTTCACCCTTGATGCCAATCCTTGATGGATTTCAGCAGCCCATATTAGAATACGTAATTGCAGTGTTCTGTATGGAAAAATAATGCAATCCATTTTTAAAAAAATATTAAATGAGAAAGTATTTATTTGCAGTTTCAGAACATAGTGCATGATCCTTTCTCCATTTTTTTCTTGATCAAAGTGATTTTTTTTTCTTTTGGAATTGTTTAGCATCACATCATCTCAAGCCCATTGGTTTAGTTTTAAATGAAATGGTTAATAAAAACACAGAATAAAGTACTGACTGTAAGTAAGAGGCATATATTTAGATTAAAAAATAAGCCTTTGGCCAATGGAAATGAGAGCATACAGTACTCCACCATGATTAATGGTAAGTATGTTTGTAATATTCTGTGTCTGTTAAGTAAAACTACAATATTTATTCAAGTTTTTAAAACATTATCTCTCAAGAAATTTTGACAAAGGTATATGTATTTTTCTATTGAATCCAATAAATTCAGCATATTTCAGCATTCTACTTTCAAAGAACTTAAATGTGTTTGTCAGAGTGCTGTCAAACAAATCTCTTCATTATAAAAATTCAAAAAGAACTAGGTAGAGCTTAGAATTCCAGAAGGAAAGATGGTATTCTATCAAATTATATAATTATAGTATTAAAAGTTTTTGCATAAACAATTTACCAATATCTACACTTCAGAGGCAAACATTCAGCATATTTCATTTTGCTGCAATATTTCGAAATAAAATCATTCTGTAAAAATAATAAACATTTGTTTTAGAACAAAAGTCCTCATCAAATGTTATAAATTATAAAGTTACTAAGATTTGATGTGTCAAATCAAGAACAATTCATGGTAATATAAAGTTGATCAGTAGCAAGTTACAGCATATTATTTGTGATTCATTCATGTAAAGTACAGTTGCTTGGTTGCTGAACATGTCTATTTTATTGTTTAAGAGATTAAAACTTCAAAAGAAATCCTCAATGATTATTTTCCCAAGTGCTGGCTCTGTATAAGGCTTCCGTTTTTCTATACTATAATTGTAATAGCATGTGAGCATGCACTTGATAGGCCTGATATTTTTCAAAATCAGTCTCATTTATATTGTGCATGTTAATTAAGATGGAAAGTTTTTCTCAGTATCTTTTTAAACTTCTTTTGCATTTCCTTAATCATCCTGTACAGTTTCATGTTTTCATTCTTTTTTCCCTAAATCCAATTGCATTCCAATGGGCTTTAAAACCAGCTGAATAAGCGTGAATGCCTCTCTCTTCACACACAATCATCCCATGAACATTTTTGACAAAATTTTCAGAATGTAGGTCCATAACTATTGTAATAAGTTTACTTAATCATAATTTTAACCTACTGATTTATAAATTAACTTTGGTAATATAGTGGAGTTCCCTTAGAAGTAGGAAATCTAGCATGAGGAATGTGAATGCTTTAGAAATCTATTTATTTTCATCCTTACTAGGGTCGTATTAAAAACCATTAGAGCTGTCTAATATATTTTGTAAAAGTTACATCTGATACAGGGATAATTCCCTGATTTAGTCTACCCAATGTTATAAGCTGTTATTAGTAAATATGTAGAGTAGTTTTAAAAGTGAAATTAAATGAAACAATTACATCACTTGGACAGATAAGCCACTATTTCTAGGCATATGAAATAATCATGAATCACCAACTGATCATAAACTTTTTAATCTGTCTGTGTGATTATATTTTCTTGTTAAAATCACTTAGAAAATGCAAAAAGAGGCTGGATTACAGAAACCTTAAACTATGTTTAATAATTTTCATGTAATTATATGATGATTTTAATTGTGTATGCCCAAAGGAATTTTTAATATCCACAAAATTTTAAGGAAATAACAGATTATTTTAATAATGATGCAAGTAATGCATAATGTTACGTATCTCAAGTAAAGTCTCAAATATATTTAAAATAACACAAGGAAAGAGAATATAAATGTTATAGGAATTGTATGCATACTATAATGTTGTAACATTTCCCCGTGTTTTTTAATATACATGGATTGAAGAGTAGCTTTACTCCTGAATTTAGAATAAAAACTAGGAATTATGCCCTTCCTTAAAAAGTGTCTACTTGGGTAGTAAAATATATTTCTAAAAGAATATTTGTAGTATTCTTTAGAAAAGGAGATCTTCACTCTGAAGTTAATTGTCAAGTAATAGATAATAAATAATTTAAATGAAGGGAATTCAGTACTCTTTCAGAAAACATCCTTAATGAAATTGTTTCTTATATGTATTTGTATATCACTTACATTAACTCATAGTTTAGTATTTAAGTTATGTTTAAGTAAAATGATAAATAATTTGTTCTCCATGGAAAGCTAATTGAGCCTATTTAAACCTGATGCATTGTTTCTTAATAGTAAATTCTAACTTTGCAATTGCATGTCTAATGATCTTTTTATACGAACAAGCTTAGTTAGTTGCCACATGTGTCAGACAAGGAGACATTTCTGCATTATCATTTCAGTGTGACTAAGTTTTTTTTCTTTTCATTTAATTATGAAACTTCTCATTTTCTGATGAGGGGAAAAAGATCAGACCCAGCCCATATTTCAGGTATTCCTTTGGGTTTTTACAAATATAATTGCATCACCGAAGACTGACAAGCCCTGTGGAGGCTGAGTTCAAAACAGTCTCATCGCGGGGCGTGAAGGGCAGATGCAATATGTAAGGGATTGGTTGGATTTTAAGTCATGCTCTTATGCTCTTCATTGTTCCAACTGATACATAGAAGAAATACACAGTGCAGCATATGCCAGTGTTTAAACTACAGTTCTGTAACTCTTTGCCCCAAAGCATTCCTACCAGGGGTTGAAAGAATGCTTTTTGATTTGCTTCTGTGATACAGACATGTCTCATAGGAAACAAGATGTCTGTCACTGAACATTTTTGTCACTGTGACAACCCCGCCTTCCCATGCTCCCTTGTTTATTGCTGACTGTGCTCTTGTTTCCCTTCAAGGTCTGGCGCACCTGATGATGGGCGACCAAGGTATGGGCTCTGTTCCTTTTCCACTCTGCTTCCAGTGTTTCCTTGTTTCGTAGCTGCTTTCACACCATCACTGCAAAGGATGGGCAAATGCTTGCAAATTATCTGGCTGCAAATTAAATACATACTTTTGTTCACATTTTTTTTTCATGTGTTATTCTCTTTGTATGTTGGTTTGATTTGTGGTTTGCTCCTTTGACTTTTTTGTTTTGTTTTTGTTCATTCTTTGCACTGTAATATCTGAAAATAAATGAGACATAAGGACTTGTGATTGAAAGTTTCCATACGTTTATCAGCATATGCAATTTTCAGGGTAGTTATAGTAAAGAAAAACCAAGAACCATCACAAATTAATATTTGAAAGAGGATATTCAGTTTAACCTCGTGTACCAAAAAGAGTCCATTTTTCACCCAATGCATGGCAGTTTGGGAACATGCAGACATCTTTGGCTTCTGGCTTCTAGAATGCTGAGTCTAGTGCTCCACAGAATCAATACTTCTTTTACCTGCAGTCGTTATGTATCTCCTCTTTGTGTAATATTTTAAAGTGAGCATGGGCTTTCCAATTTCCTTGCATGTACTGCCTTTAAAAAAAGGCAGGATTGTCAACGTATACTGATTGTATTTCCATTTGTTTTTAAACCCTTACTTATGCTTTCTTGATTAATTTTCAAAGAGTAGTGCATTTGCATATATTCATAATTCTTATTGTTGTTTCTCTCCTCTTTATTCTCTTTGTATGGAAACCCTTTCTTCATGGAACCATTTCATCAAATCAATAGGTAAAAGTAAAGGTATTACACTCTTTTATTTCTACTTAATATCACCTGTATGAATTACAGTGTCTCTAAGTTATGCAAATGTATTTGCACCTTTTGGTATTAGTAATGGGCACTGGGAGGTAGGTATGAGTGTTAATGAATATTTTATGAACTTAAGGTAAGAGAAAATCCATCAAAATGTTTCACTCTTTGTTTCTCTTGCTCTTTAGTGTGATTTTTTTTTGTCAGCTGCTTATATAATTAGTGTATTTAAAAATTAGCTACAGGTTTCGGTGTCAGTTTTTGCAGTGTCATTCAATGGCAATTAAATGCTGTGTGTAGTCACCATGAATATATCATCCTCAAACTTTTAACTCTGGAGCCCACCTACCCCTGCCATTCTGCCTTGGGATGTAAGTCTAAGCATGCGCAGCATTGAAATGGTCCTGCTCATCACCATGCTGTCTGCTAGAGGTCATATGTGCACATTAACTTCATGATATCCTGGAAAAAGCAGTACTCTGAAAGAGAGAAACAAAGGAGCAAGATAAGCCTGTTCTTTTTCTGTGCATACTAACTCTGTTTAAGAACGTTACCAACCAGGCTCCCATCCCTGCATCACTTGGTAAGTCAGGCATGTGTACTCTTTGACAGCATTGGTGCCAAATTGAAAAGCATGTATAACTCACCATTTAGAACCATCCACATTGTGTTGAGTGTTTTCATTGAAAGGAGGTACATGATAGGCAGCTGTGACAAATGTGTATCATCACCTTTAAAGTAAACATTTTAAACAATGTATCAGTGAATTCCATCTTGGTCTCCCGTTTTGTGGGGTTTTTTAAATTTTGTTTTATTTTGTTTGTTTGCATTTGTGTGTTTTTTCCCTGGTTATTTTAAACACAGGAATGTATCTTATCCTTGAATTCTCTGTATCTTTCTTATGCTCTGAATCCTAATCCGGTGAATTGGGACCAAAGCCCACAAGTTCTGCAGCTTCACGTTTGTGTCATCTAGCAGGGACACTTTTCTGCTTAAACAAGCACCTGAACATGAGCTGAGCAATAAGGAGGAAATGGTATCGATGTTTTAAATGTGTAAAGTAGAGCTTTAGAAACAAATGTTGTTTGGATACTTTGAGTTTATAAAAAACAACAGATGCTTATTGCAGTTTGTGTTTTGGTCAACCGGTTTTTTAATAATATAATTGAATCTCATTTTAACTTTCCACCAACATGCAAATGACAGTATGTATTGATTCTTTTCGTATGCCATTGGTATTTTGTGTACCATTTGGGGTGCTTTTAAAACTTGTTGTTGAGGACAAATTGCCACCCACTTTTCTTTCTCAAGTGGGCATTTCCCACCTATTCCGTAGTGTAAGATTCAGAATGGCATAGAGTGAACTGTATTTATATTTTATTTTACTGGCTGAGTGAAGTATATCTATGTGTGTTTGTGTATATGTTCCTGTGTATATTGGTATGAATACATATACGTAGACAGACTTTCTAAATATGCACACATGTATTCATTATGATGTGAAAAAGTAACCTTTAAAAATAATTCTCTAATTATATAATCTATTAACACTACATAAGGAATAATTCATGTTTATATTAAGCTGGTATTTGTTTTGGTGAATTAATGTTAAGTGTCACTTCATCCCGTGTTCCTATGCCAGACCTGTTTTCTGTTATGTGTGTCAAGCATATTTTTTGCTAAAGTTTTCATCAAGTTGTCTTCATCAATCTGCACAAAACTACAGAGGCCAGGACTTTGTTTTTTCCTTTACATGCTTCTGTGAATGGGACCAGGATGCTTTTCGATATTAAATGGGAGAAAGAAGATGGAATTGAGTATTTTGCAAATAAGACCGGTCCCTTTGCATGTTGTTTAATTTGGTGTCTAGAAATGAGAAATGTGATTTGTAAGTTTTCTTTAATTGCAAGTTAATTCAACAAATCTGTATTCTAGATCAAAAATCCAATCTTGACGATGCCATGCATCCACACCCAAGGAGTGTCATTTATAGTAGGGAAATGAAAACGTGAGCAAGGGAGTCACATGACAGAATGGAAGTGCTGTGCGGGTGGGAAAAGGCAGTTAAAAACAGGACATGAATCGGGGTTGCTCATAGGTTGATGTCCTTGCCTGTTGGAGAAGTCGCAAATGGTCTAGGAACTTTACATTTTAACTTCCTCTATAGGTTAGATCCTAGTTGTACATAAAATGCCCAGTATAAAATAATAGATATGAATTATAAATTCATGCCTCCAAATATTTCTGTCACAATATAATCTTGGAGAATTTTTCTTGACACTACTTGTCTCTTTAGGAGAAGTGATTTCAGGGTCTCTGGAATGATTCTCTCTGGATTAATGTCTTTTTATTTTTTTCGTTAATCCAGAAGCAAAATTGGATTCAGGAGCATTATTATTATTATTTCTTCTGTATGGATTCTTAAATATTTTCTAAAAAGTTAAATGCCCAGTGATAAATGAATACCTTTCATTAAAAAAAGAACAAAAGGAAATAAAGTAACTCATCTAAAGAGAACATTTCCTTGTGATAACCTTCTTCATCTTCCTCCCCAGTCCTCTCTGTAGAGGTAAGCACTGGCATCATAGTGCTGTATCCTTACAGAGTTGGTGTGGATCCTTCCATACTCCCTAATTCATTTTTAGGGTTTGGAAACTGAAAAATCCCTTACCATTTATACATCACAAAAACAGCTAAGTCAACTAGAGACACTGTTATGTGCTCACAGAATCAAAATGAATGAAATGGAAGCTTTCTCCTTTTTCCCATAGGACATTGCGTCTCATATTTTTATTTATTTTTTGTTAATCCTCACCCAAGGATATTTTTCCATTGATTTTTAGGGAGAGTGGAAGAGAAAGGGAAAGACAGAGAGAAACATTGATGTGAAAGAAACACATGGATTGGTTGCCTCCTGGATGAGCCCTAACTAGGGCCAGGGCCCAGGGAGGAGCCTGCAACCAAGGTAGGCAACCTTGACCCATGACCCTTTGGTCAGCAGGCCAAGGCTCTATCCACTGAGCCAAAATGGCAAAGCCGTGCCTCATATTTTTAATTGGTCATTCTGTTTCAAACTCTGGATTCAGTTATTTGGATAGGTTTCATGTTTTATAAGCAAGAATATGTCACCTTTAACTAGATACAGTTAGGAATAAACACTCTTTCAGTGATTTATAGCTTTTTTAGGTATAGCTGAAGAGATATTCTCTAGAACAAACCTGCTTGTGACTAGATGGATCCAAATCATTGTGAAATTGTGGTTGCTTTCTTTTTAGATCTGTAATTTGTCATTGGTATTGTTGGGGCCATTGATAATGCTAATAACTTCATTCTCCATTTTATTTTACATATAGGTTTATCTATTTACCTGGGAATTTACTTTTTTGTTTTGTTTTTCCATGTATGTTTAACTGGTCATTTCATTCCAACAATGATTAAATTATATTTTACTATTTAATTATATTTCAATGGTTGTATGAAAGTAATGAGTGAATATTTATATGAGAACATGTTAAAGTAACTCCCACTGCAGATCCAGCCAGCATGGCTAGTTAATAGCTCAAGAGCTCAGGTCAATAGTTTCCAGATAAGTGTTGATGTTTTGATTGGAGGCCGGATTTTTTCTTCATAGCCATCATCATAATTGTAATTACATATTTATATGAGATTATAAATCTAATGTCAACTGTTCCTAATAGAATGTAAGCTCCATGAGGGCAGGAAGGTTGTCTTTCTTTTTGGCCATGTGCTTCCAGAGCATTTTTCTAACTATCTTGACTATTTCATTTTCATGACTTAAGTATGTGAATGGGCAGGGAGCATGTTGGAAGAGGAATATGTGAAGAAGGACATGGAGGATTTGGTGTGGGCAAAGTTGGGGGTGGAAACGAGAAAGAAACTTACTGATATAGGTAGAAAGGATAATAGCAACAGATTGCATGGAATCCTCTCAGCCTCCGTCTCTAAAGTTTCTTTTGCTTCCTATCATTCATATCCTTTTGCAAAGTTGCAGTGTATCTTTCCAGTAAGGCACCAATCTGCGGTCAATTTAATATGCCTTAGCATATGCACAGCAATGGGTCTGTAAGGAAATGAAATCAATCAATTTTTGTGTTTTAGGTTTTCAAAAATTGTCATGTTATTCACTGTCACAGTGGCAAATAATCAAATTTTGTTTTCTAACTTGCACTATTCGTGCAAAAGCAGGCACAGAAATGTTACTGCAATTCAGATCTGATGTTCTCTTTTGTGGTTCGCATGAGTTCTTTTTTTACTCATATTGTGTCAATTGTGATATACTATACCATAAAACCAGTGTTTAAATGGGGTTTGGATGGTAAACTTTCAAAAAAGCCAAAAGTTGAGTCTTATCTTATGATATGAGAATATTTACTTTTCATTGCATTCATAAATCCTACAGCATATTTGCAAAATAAATGTTCATTTGACTCTTTCAAATGAACATTCATTGTTTGCTTATCCTGGTTTCTCATAGAAGGCCAAGGTATTACAAGTGTCAAGCATATGATCACACATTTTATAGGTGCCAAAATTGTACTGTATTAGTGAAAATTAAGTTCTTCAAATAATTTATGAAGAAAATAAAATTAGATTTTTCTCAAAACTAATTGTGTTAATACCTACATATAATTGATCACTACAACTAATTGATAAGCAACATTAAAATTATGTTTTAAAACTTTATCTGTAATTTCATGCCATGGTGAATATTCTATAATATCTTCTCTTAGATAGATTTGAGATTTTTAATATTTAGAGAAGAATAAAGTATTTAGTATGTTTTATACATTCTGTTTACAAGATTTTTGTTACCATCTTTCAACTATAGTGTTGGTATATAGCTAAGTTGTCTGTGAAGTACCCAGCTCCCAGTCACCAATATCATGATGCTTATTTGTTTTACAACTTTTAAATACATATGCTATGGTTTCTGATGTAGAACTAGTTTTGAAAATATCATTTTTCTCTTC